ACAGGTGGGGTCCTGTTTCAGCAGTTAAGGGCATGGAGCAGCAGGTTCCTCCCTGGACAGGCCACACTCCCACCTGATGCAGCCTCTGTCCTGTGGCCTCCCCGGGTTCTGCTGCTGGGGAGGCTGGTTTTGCTCTGGGGAGGTGGCAGTTTGGGGCTGGAGAGGGGGGGTGTCCCAACCCTTGTCTCTGCAGCCCCAGGAGGTCAAGCAGAGCCACCAGCAGCTCCTCCCTGGCTCAGTTACTGGTCCTCAGCCTCCGTCCCTGCCTGGCTCGGGTGGGACGTGGAAGGTAATTTTGTCCTCTGGAGGATGAACTGGGGTTCATCACCCCAGTTAACCCCTCTGGGCTGCAGGATGGTGCGTGGCTGAGCCCTGCCCTGTGCCACCCCCTGGGACCCTCTGTGCAGCTCCTGAGGGACCCCAGGCCAGGGCTGAGCTTGTCAGCAGCCCCTTCCCCCTGCACCCTGTCCCCCCCCTGCATCCCCTTCCCCCTGCACCCACCCCCTCATCTCACCTCCCCCTCTCCCTGGGGGAAAGCCGGGTGTCCCAGGACAGCCCTTGCCATCCCCTGTCCCCTTCCAGCAGCCCGAGCCACATCCCCAGCCCCAACACCACCCAGGCCTGAGGATGGACACACTGCCCCGAGGCTTTTCCTTTACTCCACACACACACACACACACACACACACACACACACACACACACACCTCTTGGTCTGAACAGGGTTCAAACCGGCACCGAGTCAAAAATAACCGAACCTGTTTCTGCACTCAAAAAAAATATAATAGTAAAAAAATATATATAAAAAATGCTTGTGACATGGAACTTCAGCATCAGCTGCTGGTGGTGCTGGCAGCCCTGCTCCCATGGGAGGGGAGGGAAGGTTTGATCTCAGTGTATCATTCTAGCTTAGCTTCTGTCTGTGGGTGTCCATAGTGTATCGTGCGTTTTAACAACTGGTTTACACTGTTGCCGTAAAAGTGAATTTGGAAATAAAAGTCATTACTACAAGAAACGGCGCCTCTTTTGCGGGGTGGGGAGGGGAGGGGACTCGGCCTGATTCCAACATCTTGGAGCTCTCTGATCCACCACCTTCCCCAGGACTCTCCCACCATGGTTTGCTTTGCAGATTGGATTGTTCCTGCCCTGGCAATTACTGGGAAGGAACCCGGTGCTGCCTCCTGCTTGATAACCTGGTTAATCACCACCTGGCACCTTCCTGTTCCTTACCCACTGGGCAACGAGAAACAAAGTATAAATTCCCTTATCTTGGAAATTTAAGAGCACCCAAGGAAGTCACCTCCCACCACGGGCCAACATACTCTAGCCAGGAGGGCAAACAGGGACCAGATGCCTGGGTGTGAATCAGCAGTAACTGCTTAAACCTGAGAATGTGAAACAAACCCAGAAAATAAAACCAAAATTAGAAAAATAAACCCCAGAATTAGAAAATGAACCCCTTAGACGCCGGGGTGGAGCTGAGAGAGCCAACACGAGGCAGGGCTGGTGGCCCAGGGGCTCCCAGGGAAGCTCCTGTTCCTCCATCCCACATCCCAGACCCCACCATTTCCTCTCCCCCCCCCCCGACAAGAACAGCTGGGAAGTTACCTTGGGAAGGACAAAGAAGCCCCAGAAAAGTGGGTTGGGAGGGAAAGTGACCAAGCAGAGGGAAGGGCCCCTTGCCCAGCGTGTCACAAACACCTCACAGGGAAAAACGATGTTTTAATTTTTTTAATCTTTTCTTCTTTTTTTTTTTCTTTTTATTTTTTTCTTCTTTTTTTTTTCTGTTTTTTTTTTTTGGTTTTTGTTTTGCTTTTTTTTTTTATAAGCACATTTTTGCTTTGCCAACAGAATCAAGACATTAACAAAGATCAGCTTCTCGGAAGAAAAGCATTTCTATATAACAAGGACATTACACAGCTCAAAGCAGGAAAAGAAAATATTTACAAAATACAAGGTGGTTTGTTTGGGATGGTGGGTTTTGGTGGGGTTTTTTTGTTGGGTTTTTGTTTTTGTGTGTGTGTGTGGGGGGGGGTTGGTTTGTTGGGTTGTTTTGTGTTTTTTTTTATAATGCTAAAAGGGTTCTTCAGAATTTTCAACCTTATAAATAGAAAAGCACTTAACGCAGAGGGAAATGGGAGCCTTGGTTTTGTGGTTTGTTTGGGGTTGTTTTTTTTCAAATGACAACAAATCCTTTAAACTAGAAACAGAAACACCCCCCCCCAAAAAAAACACAAACAACACCAGCCCAAACAAAACCAAAACCAACACTAAATAATGTTGAAAATTGTGAAAACCCCAACCATTAAGCAGTTTAGCTACTATTTCTTTACGATTACAAAATGGAAAAAAATAAAATAAAATGTCCTTTGTATTTTTTTCTTTTTTTTTCCTTTTTTTGTGTTTTTTTTTTGTGGTTTTTTTGTGGGTTTTTTTTGGTGATGTGATTATACATGAAGACAGGCACGATGCCAGCGACAGGACAGGGATCAAGAGCCACACCCTGGGGGAGCAGAAAGCGTTTACAGATGGGAAATGGTGTGTGGGATCCGGGAGTCACTGCGGGTGTGGGAGGGAGGGAAGAAGGAAGAGGAGGGAACAGGAGGAAGAGGAGGGAACAACAGCGAACTCTGATTCAAAAGAAAATACCTGTCAGGAGGCAGCACAGTCGGACCAACGGGAAATGAAACGGACTGGACACCAGTTCTGGGTGTGCGGGAGCAAAGCGGCGCTGGGGGATCCCCGTTCCCCACCCTCCTTCCTGCTCTTCTCTCTCCTTTGCTGGGAATAAACCCACCTGCAGGGACCACCCAGACCAGCTCCTGGAATGGGACCCTCCCTCTGCTGCTCTTGGTGCTGCCCTCGACCCAACTCCCTGATCCTCTGGGGGAACACAGGGTCCAGGCTCCAGCACCGGTCGCAGACCCGCCTTTCCCAGCTGGAAGCTGCTGCCCTGTCCCCAAAGGGATTGTCCGTGAAGTGAGGTGGGACTCCTGCTCCAGGCTGGGAACAATCCCCCGCTCCCTGCCTCCCACCCAGGAGCAACACCCCAGGTGTGAACCCCAACTTCCCAAACCCCGCTCCTCCCGTGCTGTGCGTCCAGCGGCTACAAGGATCCTTCCTTCTCCTTCCTTCTCCCCCGGGGGATGGGGCAGCCGGATCTCGGCACCGCAATCGGCTGCTCCCGAGCCAGGCGAGGAGGAAGGAGGCAGAGGGAGGGCCTGGGGGGGTTCAGCTCCACCCTTGGGGATAACCTGGAACTACAACCTAGGGAAGAAAACCGCCCGGAGGGTGGAAGTGCAGGGCGAGCTCTGCACGTCAGGACAGCCAGCCCAGGTTGCAATCCCAAGACATCACTTTTCACCACTAATTTCACTTCAGTAAAACCTTTCAGGGAGAGGAGGGCAGCAGGTCAAGAGACAAAGACACCCTTTTGCTGGAGAAAAACTATCCCTGAAGTCTGCTAGTCAGCTAAATCCTGTGCTCTAGTTTTTATACACCTAAAGAAGGGGTGAGAGGAAAGGGGGGGGGGGGGGGGGGGGAAAAGTGCGTGGGTTGGGTCTGCTGGGCTGCTCCCCTCCCGAGGCTTCACTCCACTGGGAGGAATCTGGGGGGTCTCGTTCATGTGACAAGGAAACATGGAGAAGAAGGAGGGAAAAAAAAAAGAAAGAAAAAAAGGAAAACAAAACAAAAAGAAAACAAAAAAAAAAGATTCTAAACTCCTTAAATTCACTAAAAACTGTGAAAATTCCCGGCAGGATGTTTGAATATCAAACGCAGATTTTGGAAGCTTTAATGCCAAGAGTTAGTTCTGTGTGTTGGTTTTGCTCATGTCTTCCCTTACGTCTCTATTATTGTACCTTCTGCCTTAGGAAGTTCCCAAGTTTAGGGAAGTATAAGGACAAGATATCAATGTAAGCACATTTCTGACGTGTGCTGTAAGCAGGCTATGGTGGAATCACCCGTGGATGGGCTAGCAGAAGTGCCATCGGTCTCCCGGGAGGATTTACTGCCCGACGTGCGCCGGGTGCAGCGCGACAACCGGTCCTGGGGGTCGGATTGGTCCTCGCACTCTGTCCTGGGGTCGTACGAGAGCGGGAAGGTGCGTCGCTCCCAGGGCTGCACGGCCTAAAGGGAAGAGACACCAGGCTATGGAATATCCTCTGGAAAAGCTCTTCTGCTCCCACTCCGCATGTGACTCCGGCGGTGCTCGGAGCAGGCAGCTCCACGGTGCAGACGTGACTGCCCGAGCACAGGAAGCTTTGGCACACGTGGTGGGGACACGGCAGCCTCCAAACTGAACCAGCCCCTTGGAGGAACATCCTGCTGCCTGTGTCCAACAGCACCAGGCTCTGCATCCCATCCAGCCCAGAGCCTGGGAGGGATTTCCCACGTTCCAAGCTGCCTCCCCACAGCCAGGAGGAGAAAACAGCCCAGTCGGAGCATCAGCTTTACCCTTAATCCCTGCCTGCAGCAATCGCTGCAGTGACACCCCCAGAGGCAGCACTTGGGACTTTCCCGCCAATCTCTGGGAACAAATCCAGAGCTGAGGGTTCCCAGGGTATCCAGCACCCACCTGCTCATCCAGGCCGGCCTCGGGCGTGGAGCAACGTGTGTCCTCGCTGGAGAGGAGCCGCAGGGAGTCCCGGGAGAGGGGGGTGAGGGGCGCCGAGAGCAGCTCGGGGCTGATGGGGCTGCGCGGGGAGTGGGTGTGGGACAGCTCCGGGTGGGAGTGGCAGTTGCCCACCTCAGGGGATGCTGGCTGGGGGGTCAAGGGGTTCCCCAGCTGGGGGGTTGTCCGTCCATCTGTCGACCTGTAGGACCTGGGACAGGGAGGTGTCTGAGCGCCTGGTTTCAGTCCCAGCCACGATGCCACCCCCAGGGGGGCCCAGGCCACCTGGTGCCACCCACTGACCCCTCCCACTGCCTCTTCCTTGGAGCAGCCACGGGGACTGGGGACAGACAGGCAGGGAATGTTGCAGCCCAGAGGTCAAACTCATCCGGGCTCATCCTTGTCCCACCTCCCCTGTCTCAGTGCAGTTTGGCAGCACTGACACTGCTCCCTAAGGCTGCACATCCCACGCAGCTCCTGCGCTGTGAGGGCTGCACAAACACCACGAGGAGAAGCCACCCTATGAGATCAGACACTTCACAATCGGTTTCTCCAAGTGTTTCCACCATCCACGTGACACCAGGCAGCTCAAGAACCAGGCGTAGTGAATCAGTGACACTGGAAACACAGCAAGAGCAACAGTTGGGTGTGGGAGGAGCCCTGTAAAACCCCGAGACTTCAGAAGATTGAAACCAAGAACTCAGAAGGTTGGGGCACCTACACAGGTTCCCTGATCAAACCCCCACAGGAACCTGCCTGAAGTGCCCACAGCAGAGTGCAGCTCTTCAGGATGAACTGTGACAGGAAGTGGCAATCAAGGGCCACCAAGGATCAGGTCCCAAAATCTGCTGGCCAAAGTGTTCATCAAAACACACAGACCCAGCCCCAATTAGACTAATGAACCAGCTACACCAGCAGCAAGTTCCAGTCAATGTGCTGAGTCAAGATGCAGCTGAAAAGCTGCTGCAGGAAAAAAACAACAACTGTGCTGTTACACATGGGAGGCAGGAAGACCACACGATGCTCAGCAGATCTGCTGGAGCAGATGACAAAGGGGGAAACAGGCAGCAGATGACATTTAAGGGAAACAAAGAGTTTCCCCCAGTGCTTACTGGTATTACCTGCCCCAGGAACCACTACAGGCAAGAAGCAAGGTCCTGGCTGAGTGACAGCAACAAGAAGTCACCAGGCCCTGAGGGCTCAAATCATTTCCATGGAAAGGCCAAGAAGAACCCCTGGATGGGATTGAGCAAGTATCCTGCTGAGGAGGAGCAGGACGTGGTGAAGGCCAAGCTCAACTTGGCCACGTCACTCTCGGCACAAACACAGCACATCCTGTCCTGGCTTGTGCTGAGGAACATGACCAGCAGGACAGGGACACTCCCATGCACATCTCTCCCTGCTGGGGACCTGCCCTGGGATTCCCCAGCTCTGGGTGGAATCTCTGTCTTTGGAAGCATTCATGCCATGGCCAGACAAAGGCATGGCCAACACGGTCTTGTGCTGGCAAGAGCCCTGCAGGAGGCTGGACCAGAGAGACCTCTGTCCTTTTCCAGCAGCAATCTACACTCATGAAGTCTGAATCTCAGTGACCAAGCCAGGACCTCAACACAGCATCTTTCACCAAGGCCCTGAACAAGAGGGTCTTTGGAGGAACAAAGTCACGGTGAAGTGCTGCCAAGAGATGAGAAACTGCCTGAAGAAGTTTGCAGAGAAGCACCAAAATGTCCCAGACTCCACCAGCCCTGGGCCAGGCAGCTGCAGATGAGGCAGCAGCTGCACAAATGGGAGGCTGACAAATTTTTGCATTTTCAGAAGTTCCTGCAGAAATGACCCTGAATGATCACACACCCAATGGGGCTGAACCAAAGCCACAAGCAGAGAAGGAGTAGGGGCAGGGCTCTGCAGCTGCACTTCAGCTCTTCTGGCCCAGCAGAGGGGCTCAAAACCAGACCCACCACTGGAAATCACATGAAGACACAACCTCTTCTGCTGCAGGTTTATGATGAGCTCAACAGCTGGAAACTGCAGTTTCAGACACCTCCTCACAAAGAGATGCTGCAGAAAGGGAACTGAGGCCCAAGTGACCAGAGGAAGGTGAGGACGTGGATGAAAAGTGAGCAGAGAAATGGCCCTGCTGAAGCCATCGAGCAGAGATGTGACACTGGGAACAACCACTGGTCCTTGCTCCTGCAGGAAGGATGCCCAACTCAGCCCTTGTTTCTTCTCCAGACTCCTGAGCTGGTGCACCAGCCTCCACACGTCTACAGCACCCAAAGTGCCTGAGAAAGCAGAATCCCAAGGGATGCTGCAGGAGTTGGGTTCTCTGCAACCTCACCAGTGTGTAACTTCACCCCACCCCCAGGTGGGCTCCTCCAGCCGCTCCTGTGGGGGTGATGAGCTCAACAGCTGGAAACTGCAGTTTCAGACACCTCCTCACAAAGAGATGCTGCAGAAAGGGAACTGAGGCCCAAGTGACCAGAGGAAGGTGAGGACGTGGATGAAAAGTGAGCAGAGAAATGGCCCTGCTGAAGCCATCGAGCAGAGATGTGACACTGGGAACAACCACTGGTCCTTGCTCCTGCAGGAAGGATGCCCAACTCAGCCCTTGTTTCTTCTCCAGACTCCTGAGCTGGTGCACCAGCCTCCACACGTCTACAGCACCCAAAGTGCCTGAGAAAGCAGAATCCCAAGGGATGCTGCAGGAGTTGGGTTCTCTGCAACCTCACCAGTGTGTAACTTCACCCCACCCCCAGCTGGGCTCCTCCAGCCGCTCCTGTGGGTGGTGCCCAAACTTTCCAAAACCAGCACAAGCTTTTAACCATTTCTGATGGATCAGTCAACCTAATCAAGCCTCCACAACCAGCTCCCCGGGAGCATCCTGCTGTTGGGAAGGACGTTTTGGCCAGGAGACACCCCCTGCAGCCTGTGTGCCCCCGGGAGGTACCTGCTGCCGCGGCGCTGGGGGGGGACGCTGGTGCTCCAGAGCCACCGCGCGCGCTCCAGCTCCTCACACTTGCTGTGCCGGGCGGCGAAGGCCGAGTCTGATAAGTCCTCAATCTGGAAAGGGAAGGGTAAAGGACTTGGTCACAGCTTTCATGGAATGGTTTGGGTTGGAAGGGATCTTCAAGATCATCCACTTCCACCAGCTCAGGTTGCTCCAAGCCCCATCCAACCTGCCCTTCAACA